CCCCCCCCCCCCCCCCCCGGAGAAACACGAGGCAGCAACCGAGGCGAAGAATCGTGGCAGGATCGAAGCCACGAATCAAACCTGCAGGCTGCCCGTGACATGTTCGTTGCACTTCGCACTCAACCCGGACCTGCTTGGTACTGTGCCCCGCCCGTCTCATAGCCAACCTGCATGTGACACGACAAGCCAAGCACAGCAAAGCCAGACCTCAAACTTGGACCGACACTGGCCAGTGAGGTAAGCTTCTGGCGCAGCCAGCTTTTTGTGCCCAGACTTCGGCGTTGACTCGACTGACGTTGCTCACCTCAGCCCAGACAAGCTCTGCTCTCCTCTCCCACAGCTGTGAATCTTGGAGGTGAGGATGAGCGATCTGCTGAACTTTCGAAAGGCCAGCTTATACTAGGGCTGGGGATTATGTTCAAGGACTTTCCATCAGATGGTTTCTGCAATGCAAGGAAGGTTACAGTAGGGGCACAGGCTGGCAATGTTTACAGATCGGCTCCGTTCGAACGGTACCAGGCAAGGACATGAAGTAAGCCATCGCTTAGGATGCAGAATCGATTGCAGGGCGACAAGGCGGACAAACCACGAATCTGACCGTGCATCGTCGCACCTACAAGAGCCCCTTGCTGCATCTCTGTTCTACTTCCAAGCCGCTTGATCCAAATGCTGTAACAGGTAACATGCACCCATCCATCTGGAATCGGCAGTGCGATGGGACCGATGGAGATGGAATGTCAGCATGTCGCTGCTGAAAGAAGTCAGTGGCATTGAGCCGCCGGCGGACGCGCTCTCGGAGTCATTGCCCTGCTGGGCCGTGTCACGGGGCGCCACGGTAACCCAGCCGCCGCCCTGGCCGTGTCCGCACGAATCAACACACTATGCGCAGACATTTAAGCGGACGGAAGGGGGGACCTGCTTGTCGAGCTTGGCTCGCAACTCTGCGATGTAGTCCTCGTAGGATGCCTCCCACTGCGCAACTGAGACAAAACGATGTCATGGGGCCACATGAGAGAATCGTTCCGCACCTCTCCCCGGGCGAAGGCCGTGAACTTGGTGGCCTCCGGTGCAGTCCTCAGCACGCAATGAATGTGGCTTGCGAAGGCGCAGGTATCAAATCCACTCCTGGGCTGGAGGAATCAATCAAGTGATGCCGAAAGGCTTTGTAAGTTCATGTGTCAGTTCCTCCACAGCGGATGTCACACCTTCACGGAGGGTCATTATGACCAGAACCGGACTGTGCTCGGATTTGCGAAGACAACGCATGGCAGCAGCGCCCAGAGTGGGATAGCGCTCAGGGTCGACGCCCTCCCCCTTCCGATAGCCATTCACAATGGCGGGAGCAACTTGCTCCTTCAGAACTGTCAGCACCTCGAAAGCTTGAACAGACGGATACCGGAGACTGTGCAGAGCTTGGGCGGCCAACGCTTCGATCTGGGTGGTCTGGGATCTCAATGTGTGCAAAGGTCTCGTTGGAAGCTGTTTTCCCAGCTCGGAACCTTGGCTGTAACGCCGTGGACCGACAACATCGTGGCTTCCGGCTGAAGCCGGAGTACTGGTTCGAAAGATCCTTCGGTGCAAACCGGCTGCTTGGGACAGGTGAAGAGGTTGTACAGGGTCTGTGCATAAGTGGATGCTGCCTCACAGTCCACGAGGCTCACAGAAGGCACAAACCAACCTGGGTATCAGGCCGGGATGCTCCCATGACTGCTGGCTTGCGAAGCCTGCGGTGACAGAGGGGTGGTATAGCAACATTCGGCCCTTGCTGAGGCTGCCCTCCTGAAGTATTCAGCCGCATTGTCGCACATCTCGTCCCAAGTGTCGGCTGTGATCACGGCCTTCGCACAGCTCAACCACAAAATCGGAGACCGGCGTCAGCCTTGCGGCCTTGCCCAGCTGCGGATCTGCTGTGAAGGAGATTTCGCCGGGAGCCATCAACTCTGCCTTGATGTAGTCCAGCCTCGCAAAGGAAGACCGCCCTCCTCTCCGTCTAGCACTCGGCCAACTGAGGCCGGTTCCGAGGTCCAGTCATGCCAAGGATGTTCCCGGCCTCATGATGATGCAATTGACGAGTCTGAGTCTCAGCATCTTCTCTCGTTGTTCTCTCTTGTTCTCCGTCTCTCTCGCTCCGTGCCTGGTAGGTGATCTTGCCGTCGCTGTCGGGATTGCCGTGCAGCCACCTTGCATGGAGGACGATGGAGCAATCCTTGGCCGGCGCAAACGTCGGTGCCGGGTATCCTTTTGCACCTCAGGTTGACGACGGATCCCAAACAAGGAACTTTTGGTAAGACGGTACTCTCAAGAAAGTGTCTCCTAATCATTCTGTGGCACGCATCATCAGCTCTGCAAAAGTGTAGCGTCTGTTGCCCTTGCTATCGGTCTGCAACAGTGCGAGTGCTTCCTTGGACCGCAAGGCAGCCGGACAGGAAAAGTGACTCTCCTGTTGCTTTGCAGATTGCAGGCATGTTCTGAGTTGCCTTTCAGCCTTTGCTTGCTACCTACCTATCTCTGATCTCCCAGGATCTTACTTCACCTGGGCTTTGTTTCTTCGAGGACGTCAGGCATGAGGGCTGCTGTGCTGCGACGGGGAATCAGCTCCTTGCTGGAAAAAAAGGAATACTTGACAAGTTGCGTTTTCGACTTGTGGACGTCGATTGCACTCGATAAAGGAGCACTCGTACTCACCTCGAAGACTGACCGGAGTCATCAGCGCATAGGTTCTCGGAAGGCAGTCTTCACACAATGTGCGCGTGGCCTTTTTCATTCTGGAAGACGAGGGCTTCCATGGTGGCCCTTCAGAGAAGGACTAGTGACTAATGAGCAAGGACATCACCAGAGCTCTTATGGCCTGGTGTTGTTGTTGCCCATTTTCGCGATGTCGCCCGCCCACTTCCGCGACTTCTGGTAGAGATCCTGTGGCCTAAGGCGCTACAGCAAGTTCTGAGATTGGGTTTCTGAAGACCCCACCCCGGAAGCGTCATGAAGCAACAGCAGCTGTATAATAGTGTTTGGACAAGACACATAAAGAGGTCAATCTTGTCATCGCTGAGGCCAATTTCCACAACCTCAGCAGCAACAAAGAATATGCGGCATCTTTGATTAGCTAATTAAGCTCACCCTGTGAGCAGGCCTTCTGCAATCCGGAGTTGAACCACACGAATCGGCCGCCATCTGCGACGGTGCCACCGTCCACCTTTCTGCATGGAACATGCAACTGAGCACATCGGGGAAATCCCAAGAGCAATAGCAACACGATCGTGTTACAGCCTCAAGCTCAATCTGGTAGAAACGTCCATCACCTTTTGTATTCACCTGGATGCGTGGCGACAAGGCTTCTGCTGCTAGAGCGCGCGACTAGCTCTCTGCTTCTGCCTGAATACAGCTTTTGCTTGGTGGTCAGTGCTCTGGTGACTCTAGCGCTTGCGCATGTCGAGGTTGGGAAGAAGCCTTCGGATGCGTTGCGGCCGAGGAGCCCGTTGCTCAAAGTAGATCCCGTCCGTGCGGTTCATCTCTGTGATCACCTTCTCCACGGCCCTTCGAACCTCGAGGCTTTCTTGGGGCAATCAACTCTCAGCTCGCGCACCTTGCGCCTCGTGCGGCTGGTCGGGATGGTGCAGGTGCGCGGTCCCTTTGCCACCGCCACCATGGATACTCTTGATCAGACCTGAGACTGAGGCTCCTGTTATCTCTTCTGAAGTCCGGAGCACTGCAGAGCACGCTGCCCTTTTCGGAGAAGTTCATGTCGAGGATTTTCGTCATGAACTCTTTAACGCAAGCCTGCTCAATCATTAAGGCGCCGTCAGAAGCCATGGACTGCACCCTTTTGGGGCCTCCTTGGCGTCGGGATTAGTGAGGTCGACCAAAGGCGCATCCTCCTCGGAGAGCACCGTGAAGGGCGGCGTCGGTGCCCCCACCTTCTCACCTAGCAATGAATGCTTGAGAACACAAATATCACAAATTGAGACCTTGCCTGACTTGAGTGTCTCTTTTCTGCAGCCAAGTTTCAGATTCTTTTGAAGCCGATCTTCTCCAAGCCCTGTGAAGCCTTGGGCTCCGTACCGGGCCAGACCAGGCCAAGGTTCTGCACGCCCACGGCGGCTTCCGCAGATTCTGCGAAGGCGGACCAACCCGGCATGAAGACAACCTGACTTGAGATGACTTCACCTAGAGAGGCAGGAGTCAGATCTGGCCTGCTTAGCAGCTCGATGACGGCTGAGTTCATGGTCCTGCAGTGCTGGGTTCCGGGGCGGGATCCCTGCCGCGAAAGAATCTGTCCAGAACAGTCCTGAGTGCAGAGGAAGTCAAGGCGTTCCTTGAAGTGCTGCAGGTCACCCCATGTCTTGGGCTTCACATAGAGGGCGGCGTCCATGCCCGGCAATCTTTGCCTGCCCTCCTGGAGAACAGATCTCTGGCATGACCACTTTGTACAAGGTGTGATTTGGACTCGCGAAGCCTCCAAGGTCTGTATCACACGAACTGAGCTGCCCCAAACAGCGCGAATGTCCGCAAGAACGGAATTTGTCGCATGCTTGGACTGGTTGTAGACGATCACCTGCGATCGGCACAGGTATAACACGAAGAAGTTTCAACAAGGATGCAACAAACCCACGCAGGGCTGCATGCTGTCTTTTGATGCCCCTGTCACCTGTAGCCTTTGGCCCTGCGCTCTCTCAGTAGCTGCCGCAAGGCAAACTGCAGTCCTAGGACGTATCGCTTCACTGTAGATCGCTCTCCGCGGCGGACAGGAGTGCAACCGTGCAGGCAAGCGGTGCGGAAAACCAGCAAATCACCACGATTCATGGCTGCCTCATTCTTGCGGCCATTCATTTTGGTGAAGAATCTCCCGCCCGTAAAGTCCTCACCCTCCTGATGTAGCATCAGAACCATTTGCAAAGGAAATGACACCTCGCCATAGATATCTCGATGTTCGCGGTTTTCACCACCTTCTTGATACCAGAGGAACAAGTTGCTGGGGCGTGTCTGACCTCTTCTGATGCAGAGCTCCTCAAATTCCTGAAGGGTTGTCGGCAGCGTTTCCAATCGTTTTTCTGCAGAATCCGGACCGGATAAAGAGAATGTGCGCCTGGAAGACTGTACCTCGAGCTTGTGGGATTCGAGGAGCTCTGCTGCTATCGGTAGCAAGGCTTCATAGGCAACCTCGCGAAGAGTTGCAAGACTGACAGGCAGCTGCCTCAAGTAGTCATAGCCTTGGTAGCAAGCAAACCTTTGGGCCGCTGGGCTTCTCAAACCGCAAAGACCGCTACCGCGATGCTTTCAGCTTTTATTCGCTTCCCAAAAACCAGACCAACCCGATACACTCCTCCGCACAGTGCAGGAACGCCGGCACAGTAAAGTCCAACAAACACATTCCTGATTCGGGTGGTGCCCAAGCCGAGTTCTGTGAAGAGCTGCCTCTGCAACTTCAAGGCCGGATTCAGGGTTCATGCTTTGAGTAGCACCCTGCTTCTAAGGAAGATGCTTCGGGAACTGTAAAACAGCAGGCAGAGCTTGAGCACGGGGCAGTGAATGCGCCTTTGTGAATTGGGGAACGTACACAAGGTACCCGGAATCGCGGATGCACTGGGGCTCTGGTGCTGCCTCTTTTTGACAAACGAAGACGTTCACTTCCAGTTGCCTGCAAATTGTACACTGCGATCTTCAAGCCTGCTACCTAATTTGCACTTTGAAGTTCGGCGAATCCGAAACTTAACTGGAGACATAGGCGTTGGATGAGAGCAGTTCCCCATACGGCATGCAGCATGACTGAAAAGATCTGGAAGGGAAAGGGCAAGGTAAAAACACGGATGTGTACTGCTCGTCTCTTCTTGAACTCAGGGCTGTTTTAGATGCTCGCGCCTGCTGCTCCCTGACGTGTGATGTGACTTGGCCTAGCAAGGCGCGAGCTGCCCTTACAGCTAAGGACATAGCCTCCACTGCCCTTGTTTTGCTGCTCCATCTTCACAGCTCCCCCTTCCAAATGCCAGGGCAACTCGTGCAGCAGCATGTCGACATCTCCCGCGTTGAAGGCGCCTCGGAGAATGGAAAACCCACGCTCCTCGAGCTCCTGCTGGGTGGAAGGGCTGCATGCCCACTGCCCAATGCGCTCCTCCCAGTGCTTCCGATAAGCCGCTCGATAAGCGTCAGACTGGTGGCCTCCATGGCCGGAATGGGATTGGCCGTACATGAGAACACACTCCACACTTGAGCAACCGGTCGCTGGTGTTCTGGTGATCATGAAAGTTATCTAGTTGCTGTAGTCATACCGCTTTGTCCCTGGACACCGTGCGGGCAATGCAGTTCAGCGAGGAAGCGCAGCAAGTGTATGCAAGCTCACAACAGCCGCTTCAGGGTGGACAAGGTCACAAGGCACAGCAGCTCGGCGGGAGCACTGTGGGAAACGGTGGCTCCGGCGCCAGTGGTGCAGAGATATCAGCCTTTGCGCGCTGTTGGCACACCTCGCATGGCTTGCTCGGCAGGAGCGTGCAGTCAGGCGAAGACAGGGAGCAGTGCAGCCAGCGGCCTGGAACGCCTGCACGACTGGAGCATTTCTTGGGCCAGGCACCACACCTGAAAGCCAGGCGGTGGTTCGTGGGATGCATCACCAATACAAGCATTGATCTGAGATGGGAGCGAAGTCGAGAAGAACCACTCACCAGGCATTGCGAAACGCGCCGGGAGAACTTGGATAACATGATACCTGGACAATCTCAAGATAACATTGCGACTCTTTGGAATGGAAGAGTCTGAAGGCATGAAGCTGCAGCCAAAGCACCGGTACTCCGAGGCACTCTTGTTGAGCACCGGCAGACGAGCTTAAACAGCTGCACCGGCAGAACGACACGACATGGAAACGCAGTCGCTGGCTGAAGCCATGGGAAGCAAAAGGGTTACCTGCCATCGCAGAGTGGACTCTCTTGGACATCTCTCTAAGCTTCTTGCTGGCCACCCTGCCCTCGAGACCCTGTTTGTGTCTAAGCAGACCGACTCTTCACGCAGTGCGCCCAGAAAGCCCAGCGGTTGCCGGCTGCCGCAGCCTGAGGCACGGGGACTTTACTACTACTCTCGACTGACACCTCCGTAGTGACCTAGTGATTGCATTTGTCGTGAGCAATGTCTAGCTGCTGCGTTGAAGTCCCGAGAGACTGTGTGCACCAACTATTGGGACATCTAAGGACCTAAGGAGAACTAAGACAAAACGAAAGGTCCTGAGAGGGCGCCAACTTAGGCCGATCAACTTGACTGCCAGGGCACTGTCGTTGGATCTCGAGTAGTTCTCGCTCCAAGTCCTGCGAGTCGGCAGTCTGCCTGGCACCGCGCCCAAAGCACACAAAGAGAATCTTGTTTGTGCTGCTCGCACGACCCCGTGAGGAGACCAAATGGAGAGAGAGTGGACCTTAGCCTCTTTCCGGGTCCTTGAAACCAAACCCGCTCTTATGCTATCGCTCTTCTCGGCGAAGCCCAAGGTGGGCCTGGGCAGAACCGAGACGCCGCTGGGCTCCACTCCGGTTTCGCTCACGGCTTCGAGCTCCAACGTGGCAAGGCCTCTGTCTGCGATGCCGGTCCCCGCGGTCCTCTCTGCGCTCTTTGCTGAGTCACGGGCTGGATGCTTCTTCTGCTAGGTCCCTTTGCAGCTGCGCAAGAGCCTGGCGAGGGGATTCTATGATCCCTCGCGTCGCATGCCCACTTTCTGCTGTCTTGCTCCTGCTTCTGGATTATGCAGTCGCAGAAACTCAGTACTATAACTAAGGTGCCAGTGTCAGGACTTCGACAGCAGATCCGTCGAAACTGCTGGTGTGAGCTTATCTCGCTTGCATGTCAAAAAGCAGTTGCAACTACTGTCGACAACGTTCGTTTCATTTCGTCCCCAGCACCAGAAGCCAGAAGAATGCAGTCAACGTCCACAGCGTTTTTTGCCTTGAGATTGTGGAGCCAATTGACATCATCTCCAAAGCTTGCAAAACAGTATTCTTTGGACGTATTGCAAGCTCCGTGCTTTCACCTTGAACCCTTCGAACCATTTCTAGTTTTGCCGGGCCGACATCTCGTCAAAGTGCAGCGCCGACCACGACGTACCTACGTATACCCCTTCTCACACGACAACGTGGATCTCCACGAGGAAAATTATGGCCGATGTGGCTTTACAACGCGGACCCGCTTTTGTGCGGCGTTTCGTAAGAGGCGATGAAGTCCTCCAAATGAGTAAAACAGTTCGACATGCTCTTGAACTGTCATGTGTTCCGAACGTATTCCTGGATGTACTCGACAAGCTTCTCACTCACTTCGTGACACAACTATGCAGAATCTGCAGAACCTCCTCGACCTCATCTGTTTCCTTGTTTTAGCCGGACTAATGACTAACAACCTTTGTCAAAATCATAGTCATAGCGGTCCGCTGCTTCTTGTTGCTGATGGCTAGGGTCGACCTCTGTGTGGACCTCTCTGCTACCGGTAGCCTCCTGCCACTTCTGAGCAGCCTCAAAGCCCGGCGCCTGCTGCGTGTCGGCGAGCTCCGCTTCCAGCTGTGAGCGCTCGGACTTACGAAGGTAAGATTGTGCAGCCAACCTCAGTCTCAGACGAAAAATGCGCCTCCTGCAATGGCCAGAAGGTGAACCGTGGCTTCAGCTAATGGTGGCGAAGCGACGCTTCGCGTTGACGGTCCAATTGGCCCCGAACCCTCGCAGCTTCTGCCAGGGACGACTGCATCTCTTGCTCCTCACAGTCGCAGCGGTACATCTCTTGCATCTGTAGAGTCTGTAGAAGTCTGCGACCAAAACTGCATCGAAAGGCCATGCACAAAGGACACAGCAGGCTCCAGCTGCTCGCTGGCGCAATGATGGCCACAGTTCTGAGCAGCACGGTGCCAGCTCACCACAATTTGCAGCAACCACCAAGTCTGGTAAGACTGCCAGCAACCACCTGAAGCACAACGTTCGCACGCTGGCAATCTGCGGGAAGCTCGTCAATGCTACAGTGGAGAAGCCTGAATCCTAAGCACAGACACCTCACATATTTTTTGCCAGCGGCTTCTTGTACCCCGACTTGGTAAAAGGAAAGCACCAAACGAAGAAAAGCAAGCAGGGGCTCTGCATGCATGAGTTGAAGTTGGACGCATTGCCCGCCTATGATGGCGGCGGTGCGGTGCCGGTGCACCGAGGCCGCCTCTGTGGCCTCCGCTCGCTCCAGGCCACAAGCACGCGCAACCTGCGCCTGCACCTGAAACGAGGAAAAAGCGAGACAGAGATAAGGAGGGGAGGGAGAGAGAGAGAGAGGAGAGGGAGCCCTCTGCGGATCGCCAAGCCGCCAGGGCATCCCTCCAGGCCGACCAGGCGCGGAGCGTGTGAAGGCAAAGGCGGCGTCTGCCAGCTGCGAGCCCTCGTCTCGCTGCCAACACCCCCTGCCGCCACAGCCGGAGGGCGCTCCAACATTGGGACCTCCACCACAGCCCCCAGAGCCCCACTCAACGTCCCCCAAGGCAGCATAGCCACTGAGAGCCGCGAGCCGAGCCTGCGCTCCGAGCTGTGTTGCGAGCGCCAGCTCCCGTAGCTCAGCAACTTGGCCCTGCGAGCGGCCGCTTGGTATCGCGACAGCTCGGCCTCTTTGGCTTCCAGCTCAGACCTGCTCCGAGAAATCTCAACCAAACAAAGAATCCACTGGCTCAGTGGCTCCAACCTCTGCCGTGTTCGGCGGCGCTTCCCGGCCGAGGCGTGCCAGGCCCAAAGCGCACAGAGCACATCGTGCTGCGCCGCGAAATGCCAGGTCAGTTGCACCCTTCCTGCCGCCTGGGACGCGAAGCTCGACCTTTTCCGGAAGCACTGGTCAGGGTCCAAGGAATCTGAAGAGAGGGAGTACGCTCTCAATCATGTCCGTTCCTAGACAGGAGACCTTGCTCGAACACAATCAGAGCAACTCGGATACCAACATCTGTAGCAAGCAGCTGGAAGCCTTGCGTCACGGGATTTAAGTAAAGACCAAATTCCCCGGAAGCTTCGAAGCTGCCGAGTTGAAGCTCGCAGATTCTACGCAGGGGCTCCAGCTCTTGGTCAACAAATCTTGTCCTGAAACCTCTTTTTCGAGATTATGCATGTCGTTTGCGTGCATTCCACAGAAGTCGGAGAAAGGAGTGACAACAGCCAGGACCAGAAAACACACAGTAGCCGTCCAACTACGGATGCAACGCTGAAGATGAGGATAGCTGAGGCTAAAGCCGGCAGACAACATTAGAACAACAACCGTGAAGGAACATAACAGTCATTCAGAGCCAGGAAAGGCAGCGAGCAAGAACCTGAAATGACTAGTACCCAGCCCTGGCAAGCACCTCCAGAGACAACCTAGACTCTTCACGAAGCAGCTGCTTGCGTTGCTGAATGCAGTCACGGAACCAAGATCGCAGCGCTTCTTGAGCTAGTCGCCAGGCGTCGATCCGCTCAAGCCACAGCAAGGTCTGCTCTGCAGCGACGTGTTGCCGCAAACGCCGTGCTGCACAGAGCCGGCGCAACCACCGAATTTCAGCAGCGACGCCCTCCTGGAACGTCAAAGGCTCAGGGCTCAAGGATAGATGATTGATGTTCTAAAGACAACTGAGGATTGAACACCCATGTTACCTGCGCCTGCCCTGTTTAGGGCATCTTCTTCTGAAAACCCGCACAAAACAACTGCTGACCCCGAATCTGGGACCGACCTCTCCACTGATTCTCACAGAGCCTCGTTTTGGGCAGCCCTTCGTTCCGCGGTTGGCATTCTCTTGCAAGCTGACAAGGCAAAACCCCACAACAGCCTGCAGCCAGAGCAGCCACCAGCCCAAGACAGAAACTGCGGCATACTCAGCCTCTTCTTTTGGAACTTGTGGCTTTAAATACAACATCGCCGTCTCACTCTCATTAAATCCAACACCAGTCTTCTATAGGTATCGTGTCCAGCCACATCCCGGCTGATGTGCAGATCTCTTGTCTCTTTCCCTTGCTACTGGTACCTGCTGAAGTGATAGCCGTCGGCGCATGATGGCTCATGGATATTTTTGTGGTTCGGACATGTCTAAACAACTCGAGGACTTGAGGTACATACCCTCGCACAAACACACATCTGGGGATGTGGGGACCTTCTGCCTTGCGGACCATCGTGAGCGAAGGGACTCCCTCTGCCCCTCGCAGCGAAGATGGAAGTCAAGAACATGCCAAGCACCAAGATATTATAAGAGCCACGACCTACAGCAAAGGAGGTGTGGGATGCTGCCGCTGTTGCTGCTAGCTCAGATAGTTAGTTCGCAGAACCTGGCATACACTTTCCACTCCCCCTTGCCTGCAGCCTCTGGTCAAGTGCCACAGTATGCCAGACTCTCTCGCCCCACCCCCCCTGCTCTCCATCTGCTCTTTGAGCTTGTCGAGCTGGGTCAAGCCACTTGTAGCACGCCTGCTCGGCTTTCTCATCTCTCGCTGTCTGGAGCGCGGTCCTGTACAGCAGCGAGCTCCTTCTGCTCGTTCTGGAACCTCTCCTTGCCACGGCATGTAAATGCAACTCCGAACATCTTCGCAAAGTTCGGACAGCTCCTCCTCCTGCCGCAACTCGTCCATCAATTGCGTGAAGTGGCGCTCCGCCTACACGGGCCGGGCACTGGAAGCGATCCGAGCAGCACAACGTCCGCCTTCTCGGCGGCCAGCCAGGACCGCCAGGCCGCGAGTGTGCGGTGCGTCAGCCAGGCAACCTCTCTGCAAAGCGACACGGCGCACCGCGCTCTCGGCCCTCCCTCCCTGGCTCCCTCTCCGGGCCTGTGCACGCTGCACGGGGCCTCGCCGGCCCTCACAGCGGGCAAAGGCCGCCTCGCGGCGCCGGAGCAAGGCCTCCGCATCGGCACGGCGTCGAAGGAAGTCCGCGGCACAGCGCTCCTGTGCTCTCAGCCTACATCTCAGCGCTGCTCTCAGCTGATCTCCTATATAGGTCCCTCTGCATGCGATTCTCTTTCACACGGCTCCTGACGAACCAGCTCATCAGCCCACCTGAGAGTTGGTTACGCCGGACGAGGGAAAAGAACTTGTTTCGGATCCTGGCCTTGTTTGCCACTGATGTACGCTCGAGGGCTCCGAACCTCCAAGGGCTTCGGCGACCCGTGGACCATTCTGCGACGGCTCCACAGCCATCCCATGTTGTCTGCGAGCTGCGACATTTACATACCGAAAATCTTTCGACTTCCATGCAGCGAGTGGTGTATCGGAGCGTATATAAGTAGCCTGTAAAGCACTGTCGTGCGCACTTACTTATACCTGCCAAGGCAATATTCAGGGTCAATTAGCAGGCCTTAGCATGCACCTTTGCTCCGTCCATCTTACTTGGCAGCAACAGCGGGCAGGTCTGAGCTGGGTGGCTGGGGCACGCTGGAAGTGCTTTTGAGCTTGTGGCTGAAATGGAGTTGGGCCGAATGCCACAAACGTGCTGTCGCCCGTTTTTCCTTTGACGCAAGGCGACTGCATCGCAGAGCATCTTTGCAGGTGAGACGCATAATCCTACGGCAGCGGGTATCCCGAGTTCAAGACGCCCGCACCTGGCAACTGTTCGGCAACCGGCTGCACATGCTCGCGACATTTACCTGCTCCCAGTCGTTTCAGGGCTGTTCATGCTAACCTGTTGATACCTGTTGGATGAGCTTCCCAATCCTCTCTGAACATCTGCTCTGGCTCAGCTTGACCATGCCTCCTGAATCTCGCAGTCTCTTAGGCTGGGAACGACGGTTGCTAAGAGTGAAGTGCCACGTCTTTAAACACTCGCTTGTTGCTCAACAAACGTGCGATGCATCGTCACACAAAGAGAGTACCCTGAGCACACTTGCTACACACACCATGTAATTCTGGTGCCGGTGCTTCCACTCCGCCACCGTTTCGCAGCAGTGCAGTGCACCTGTCTTCACAGCTGCCACCAGCAGCGTGCTGCACCCGCAGACCGCGGCTTGTTGGAAGCTCTGGCCGCGAAGGGCTCGTACTCCCCGTCGGACTGCGACAAAAGAGCCATGCTCCGCTATGAGCTCTCCGAAGCTCTCCCCCTCTTCCCTCCGCGAGCCTCGCAATCCACGGGTCCGAGGAATGCATCGCTGCTGCGAGGATCTCGATTCCGCTGCGCCGGCCGGCCAGGGCCAGGACTAGGGGGACTAGGGCTCGTTTTCACGAGCTCCAGCCGGCGCCAACGTGCCGAACCCGCAGGCCACACAGTCGCCTCCAAAGCTCCCAGAGCACCTGGGCTGGTGAAAGCCCTTCCAGAGCTGACAACCTTTGCTCCCGCTCCCGCCTGGCCTTCCTGCTCCAGCCGTCTTGGCCGAGGCAACAGCGGCACCTGGCAGAAAGCTTGTCTGAGTCCCAACAGCGAATGCGCAGTACGTGTTTTGTTTATCCTCAACTTTGCCCTGGCCTGAGAGCTTGGAGGCCGTGTTTCTGTACTGGCACTGTCGAGGCGGCTGTCGCAGGGAGAGCGCGGCAAACATCGGCTGAGGGTCCTTCGAGCACTGAGGCTGTTGTCAAATGCCCTTTCGATCTGTGCTTCTGAAGCTGTCCTTGGGGTGCGAAGCACAGAGAGCTCATTGCTCATGCGCGACTGGCTCCAGTGCACCTGCAGGCCCCCATCTACCTCAAAAACTACTGGGTTACTGCTATGCTAAATAAGAGTATGGGTTATCGCTTTTTGGGGGCCTCTATCGTTTTGCGGGACTTGCAACCACCTGTTCTTGCAAACCTATCGTTTGCAGGAAAAGAACGAAGGAGTAGTAGAGGAGCGCAGGAGTAGTCGTCATCCTCGTCGCGTAGTGGTAGTCGTCGTCTTCGTCGTCGTCGTGGTCGTCGTGGTCGTGGTGGTGGTGGTGGTCGTCGTAGTCGTAGTTGTAGTCGTAGTCGTAGTCGTCGTAGTAGTAGTAGTAGTAGTAGTAGTAGTAGGTATCGGCTGGGAGGCTTCCGGGCACCTGAAGGCTACTTTGTGGGTATCGTCAGGGTGTCGTCTGGAGTATCGATCTGGAACAGTATACCACATGCTATTTAGAGAGAGAGAGAGAGAGAGAGAGAGAGAGAGAGAGAGTGTGTGTGATAGTCTCTGTGTGTGTGTGTAAGCCCAACACCACACCAAACCTTACAAACCTCCACAACGCCTCAACGCCTTTCCACGAGTAGAGCCTGAACCCGAAGCTTGGCGAGCACATCTGAAACCCACAGCACAACTGACAGTATCGCGTTTGGAGGGGGCCTATCGTTTTACCATGCGAATGGAATATGTGATTCGCTTTATCTCTGCAAAGCATGGCCTCCGACATGATAATAAAAGCAGTTGCTCACATGTGTGCGACATGTCCACGAAGATGCCGACACTGGAGAGTCAGGAGGAAGAGCAAAACAAATAGCAACACCCTTCTTTCCTCTCCGGGCTCCAGCGCATGCTGTGAAGTGCACAAAACGGGGTGACCGGACCAGACAGTCAAACACTGTAAGATCCTGCACCCCGATTAGACCCTGAAGCAGCCAAACCCCAGTCAACCCTGCACCCTAAATGTCTGAGCATCTGATTTTCAATTCGTTTTGCCCCCGGGCTCCGCGCACTATATCTCATGTCACTCATGTCTCATATTCAACCGATTCTGAATTCTTAAAGCGGAAATGCAAACATCAACTACGACTAGCAGTTTCCGGCCACACTGTCGTCGCGACATGGAGCTGCGCCTCTTCTCTGGAGTCTTGCAGTGATGTTTGGATCGAGCCACGATCTCTCTCGCTTTGCCAAATTGCCGCTGCCAGCAGGTTGAACCAGGGCTGTATCACCACCACCTCGTCTGCCTCAGAAGATCTCCGCGCGGAGAATGGTTCTGAGATTCTCCTTCATGCTTTCCGAGGATCGGTTGGATTTGGAATCTGTGATTCCTCAGCGCGCGCTCAAACCACGCTGTCCAATTACAAGTAAGGCTGAGCATTGCTGGCGAAGTTCGTCCAAGGGAAGTGATGGCCTATTCTTCAAGGCATTCGGAGTTGCTGGCTTCGCCTGTGTGGCAGAACAACAGTATCATCAGTCAGAACTTTGTGCTGGCACTGCTGTGAGTATTCACAGGATGATTGCCGTGACGGCCGCGATTCTGCTTGTCTGGCCAGGATCGACGACCCCAGCCTGGGGGAAGCGCTGTCCGGTGATGTGCAGCCTGAGTTCAGCATAGGCTGTAGTAGTCGTAGTCGTAGTCGTAGTGGTAGCACGACGACGACGATTCGAGGATTACTAATTGCTAGCCAGCCCCCCTCCCAACTGCGCTTACCAAGTGCGGGCTGGGCAGTGGCAGCTTCTAGGCTTCCCAGAACTGTGACAGCGGTAGAATTTAGAAGTTGCAGAGTCGCGCTTCCTAACTGTCACAGCCGCTGAAGTTGCAGAGCTTCAGGCCCCCAAACAGCGACAACAGCTGAAATTGCAAACTCGACAGTGAAGAAACTGTTAAACAAAGGTCGTAGGATATTGCGAAAACGCCGCAAATGCCCTGCAAGAGCAAAAATCAAAATAGCATCCGCTTGTGAGAGGGGCTCACCAACACCACTACAGCCCAAACCTCAGCGAGGACAGTTTGCTTTTGAAGTAGTTTGTAGTGTGTGCACAGTAGAGTGTCGCTATAAGTGGCTGTAACTTACCAGTCGCAAGAAGCTTCGTGATGGACAACATGATGGGTACCTGGCTAGAGTCCTAGACAGACATGAACTCAGACTTCGGTCCAAGCTTGCAGGCTGGAGGCTGCCTCATGCGAGCTTCGAAGGTCCGATTGATGGCCACCCCTGCGCCCCGGAACTGCGCCTTGCCCTGGCACTGGGCCCCCTGTTGAAGGGCCGTTTCCTTTTGAGAGCCCCGGCCCTCATCTGGAGAAGTCCTGCCTGGCGTCCTGCGGACGCTTCTGCAGGTCACGGTCGTGCGACGCTCGAACCCGATCCCTGCCTGATGAAGGACGGTTTCCGGGCCATGGCAGAACGGCTCACGGCTTGGACGGAACATATGAATATGCGACTTCTGCAGGAGTAGACTGCAAAATCCTCCTAGACACGGCTGCATACTGATCCTGCTTTCTCGCTCAATACTAGATCTAACAAATGATCCATGTGCTGAAGCTGTGCAGTTCATGCTTCTTCACAGACTCTTTCGGACTGCAACTCACTGCCGCATGCCCATGTTGCAGGTCGTGCCAGCTCGTCCATGCCGTGTGAACGATGGCCAGATTTTGTTTTTCCGGCGTTGACAACATCCCGTCTCGTCTCTTGCTCGTTCTGTACCTTCCTTCGACTTGTGGAAACAATGCTTGACAATCAACTCTGAATACGATTTATCTCCAAGTAGCCTGGCAATACACCCATTTACACGCGCCTAGACTCGGACACTGTGCAATCAAAGCCGCAAGCCGCCAGCAGCTAAACAGCTGGCAGCCATGGAAAACTGACTTAAGTGGCTTCGGGCCTTGCTGTCCTTAAATCATTACCTTGTGAAACCGAGAGCAGTGAGCTCACACCACGAGAGGCGCTACGTAACTGTATCTGATGCTTGGCTCCCCCAAAGCAAATGCTTCGTGGAGAGTTTCCCAGTGAGAATCTACGAACTCAGGGGAGCCAGACCAACCACATACACATGCAAAAACTCGTAATTCGCGACGCTGCTCAGGATCTACTTCTCTTCCTCGCTTGACGGCTGAGCACAGTGTTCGAGGAGCTAAGGCATCTTCAGGATTGGTGGAACACCCACCACCATCCAACACTTTGGAAAATGCCTTAAGGCCTTATGAGGTTGATGGCCTGATTCAAATCCTGTTCAGCGTGTTGGATGGGGAAAAAAACGCAAAACGAACTTCTCAAGTGACAAATGCAATCCAATTAGCCAGAGAAGAAGGGCAGAATTCAAGAACTGAACAGCATGTTGATGGGAGTCGCGCCAAATTTATCGCAAGAGTCTTCAAGCTGCTGAAATTGGTCTGGGAACTGCTCAAGGACTGGTTGCTGAAGAATCGAGCAACCCATCGCGCAGGTACCACAAACAATTGCGCATGCTGAAACGTGGCGGGGAATCGCAGGGAAGGCACCGAAACCATAAAAGCAGAATGTGGAAGTACACACTGAACATAAACCGTTTGACACAACTGTGCACTTGCATGGAATCCAGAAGGCGGCAACCGGCTAGAATCGCCCAAGTTGGGAATCACCACCTGCTTTTGGCCATGAATTGCTGTCCGTCAACCATGACGAAGATATGTTCAGACCGCTGTAAGCCATTCAACCCCTCCGAGCTTCTGAATCTTTTCTCACGTGGTTTTGGCAGGCTGAGTGGTTGCGGTTGCGGCAAGTTTGGTTGGCATGCTGCCTTTTTCGACTTATTGACTTGTGAACATGACTCACGTCTGTCTGCAAGGGCTCCCTGAACCTCAATGTGTGTCCTGCAGCTTCTTTCGCATGGCTGCCAGCTCGTCATCGATGGCGCTGTTCTCAGTCAAGGCCTGAACCAAGCTTGGAAAGTTCATCACTTGTGGCGACCGTGTTCTCGATACTTGTGAAGGTCACAGCGCAGGCCTTCTTGCCCTTCATCTTGGCGAGCTCGTCATCAACTGCACTTCCGGCTTCCAGCCTCCCACCATGGCCCAGTGGGGCTGCTCCAAAGCTTGTGAAACACAGCTTTCCAAAGTGTCGATGCATGCCAAGTCGCTGCTTGAAGCGGTCCTTCGGAACGTCCATGGACAGAAGGTACCAAGGTACCACATCCCCCCCTCGAACCGTGAAAACTTCTTAACAGCCGACTTCCTCCGGCAGCTCTCAGCACCTACTGTGCGACAACTCCTTAAACAGCGAACCCGCTCCTCAAGGCTGCCGCTCGCCTGCGCCTCTGGCAGCAGCCCCTGCGAGACCTGCATGCATGCATGCAGCATACATACACGCCGTATTCATATGCATACACGAATACCTTCTCAAACAGTTCAAGCACATGCACAAATAAACTATACAACCGTACGCACGAATGTACACATGCACATACACAGCTTGACAACGTGTACAGGTATATAAGCACATTTACATGTAAACGCGGACGGCTGAGAAGACTAAACTGTGGCGCCAGGTCAGGACAACGACCAGTAGCAAGCACTTGGAACCCGTTAGCATGTTCGAAGGTGTTCGATGCGAGCTGGAAGCGCACGCGGCTCTGGATCAAGTCAGTTCTGACAACTGACGTCGAAGTGCCTCTGCACGGGTTTCCAGCATCTCGACCTGAGCCCCAAAGCAAGAAGAACTCACCTCGGATCATCGCAGTTCGGAGCATCGCCTTCTCCTTCATGCGGTCAAAAGCCCCAGTGGAACCAACGCTGGTTACATCGGAGAGCATCTCGTTGACCTGCAGGCACACTGTACCCACAGCCACCAGTGAATCAGACTTTTGTCGCAGAAGGGCTGCTCCGTCAACTAAAGAGATACTGAGTTGCCTGAGCAGTCGTCTTGGCCGTGCGTGCACGTGCGATGAGCTGCTCCTTCTCCTGGCTCCGATGGACCCTTCGGGCCCTAAAGCTGCGCCTATGGGAACTTTCCGCCTCTTTGGCCTGAGAGATCTTCGCCTGCACTTCGGGGACAAAGGATGACTCGAAGGGCACACCGCCAATATACGCGGTACGGGCCAGCGCGCCTCCAGGGCCTTGACGGACTCGAAGAGCTTCTCCACGTTCCTGCAGAGATTGGCGCTAAAGAGCTTTCCAGTTCTCACGCGCCGAGGCCATCCGAGGCCCTGAGGCCCCGTCCCTGTCATGGCATCGATCTGTGCTCCCAAGTCGCTGGCCTCGTCTCTCACACAAGCCATAGCAAGCCCAAAAACAGCCCTGGCTCCCAAGCCTTGGTTACGGAGGTCTGTCTCCGGGTTAGGGCTTCCTTGGCAAGCTCGTCATCACCCTTCTCGACCTCAGAAACAGCAACATGAAGCTTTGCCGAAGTGCCTTCCACCAAGCTAGACACTGCCATCTCCGCCCGCTTGTACCAGTCTTCGGCCATCTTATCAGCTTGCTCCTGTGATGGCAAATTCACACCCATCAGAGAAGCCGGCCACAAGGCAGACCTTCTGGGTCTGCAGTCTTCTCTGCGTCGCCAGCACCTCGCAGACAACGAAAGCTGCTGGCAATATCGGGGCTCCGTCAAACGTGATGAAGAACGGCCTCGGCGTAAGACTGCCTCACTTTGATGAGGTCGCCCTGCAGAGAGAGAGCACCGCAGTCTCCACTGCGGCCGTCCATGTCATCTATCACGCGCCTGCATCTCATCCAAGGCCTGACAAATCGCAGAGCTGCAGGGCCCCCTACCGAACAGATCAGGCCAGCGACACTCGACACTGGACAGCTCCCTCTCTCATTATCTTATCTCATTTTCTATGATTCCAAGCATCCCTCCCAACTGCTCCAGCTGGACATATATGCCGAGACACGTACAGCGTGCACTTGCGTGCACCGTGTCGTACGACACAGCATGCACTGTGACGCAGGTAAGTAGTCCGCGGCCTGATCGAGGACTTTCTCCGGATCTTCCAAGCCCTGAAGAACCTGACACGGAGGCTCTGCTCGGCTGATGGCTGTGGCGTCAGCCAGCTGAGTCAAAAGTTCAATTTTCCTGCTGCCAAACATGAGCGAGATCCATTCCGGTGCGACTCAAAAGTCGTGTACAAGTCTGGCCACTAACTGTCCGAACCTGTTGACACACGACACTCTGAGAGTTGCTGACCTCTATGTGCGCTCTGTACAACGCGATGCGGTGCAACACCGCAAGGTCCTGGATCTGGGTGCTGGCTGGGCTGCTACTCGTATGCAAGCCCAGCTTGCACACAATTGTAGATTTCGGGTATATCACAACGAAATCTGAAGCACACACGCTGCACAGTGTGATCAGATGACGGATGACATTGACATGAATTGCATACCCACATTTCGAAGTGGATGCACATCTCATCCGAGCTGCTTCCTCTCAAGCTGGCCTGGAGCATGCTGGCAACAGTAGTAATAATACTGCAGTACAGTCTTAGAAGGCGAGGCAACAACAACCCTTTATTAACATCGTAAAAAGCACACGTTTCATGCAGGAGGAACCTCTAATCCGCCCCCAATGCTGCTTTGCATACGTGACTCACTCGTCACCGGCGGACTACCCGTGAGACATGTCATGGGCCCCGTCATGGGCATCATAAGATGATAAACAGAACACGGCCTGACTTCCAAGCGTCCACGAATCCCTGGATGGATGCCACCGTTATTGGTCCAGCTTCCGCGACGAAGTATGCTCCTACCATCAGTTGTCGAGGAAAAGGTGTTGTTTCCACAAGCAGAAGACTCTGGAACTGCTGTGGATGTCGAGATGCCATCACTCGGGATGTCTATCAGCACCATGGACATAGACGGCTTGCCAGCGTCACCGTTCGTCAAGCCTTGGCAAGTGCCAAGCAGCTCAGTGTCTGCACCGCTCTCTGCACTGTGCTCTTGGGAGCCTAGGTTGGTAAACTATGTCCAGCCGTTCCGGCGCAGCAGGAACGCGTGCAAGCGCATCCAGTCTTACTAGTGATCATACATTGCAATGGTTGCTGAAGCTCTCGATTGTGGTATAGTTTCTCTGGATGCTCTCCAATACGCGGAGGAAGTCGAATCTGCCATGTAACTCAGCAGGCTGCGAAGATGACCTGTCAGTTCAGAGTCTTTCGTGGCGATCATGAAGGCCACCTCAGGCGAACTTTCCTTCGCAGCCTGCAGGCGCACAGGAAAAGACTTTCTTGACCTTGGTACACAACGACCTGTGAAAACACAAAGAGCACCGCTCGGCTGCTGGAGCCTTCTGATGCTCAATGAACTTTGAAGACACGGCAGTGAGAGCATCTTCGACCTCTTGCTGCTCCGGCTTGCTGCTGGATTCGCAGAAAACCTGACGGATCCGCTCTGGTCACGAAGGAAACACTCTGAGTGCCCATGAGCTCTGCGTTGCATCGGCCATCTTAGGACTTGCTCTCCTGCTTTGGACCTGCCAATTGCTGACACAGCCACCACCACAGTCGGCACGTCCTCGATGTCACCAGGACCAGCTGCCAGGTTCTGCACCTGCCGCTGAACGGCAAAACGGCTCTTCAGTCGGAAGAAACAAGCATCGAACAAAAGCACAGGAATGTGTGCAAGAGTCCTGCAAGAGTGCAGTCCGAAGGGCAGGTTTGGGGTACCACGGCAGACTGTGGCCCTCCGGGTCTTCAGACACTGCTTCACGCCCTTTGAGCGTCACGACGTCCAAGTTCGCATCCAGAACCACCTCAGTGTTGGTCGGATCCGTGTCAACCCGGGGCCACTTTGCTTCGTGGCATTGCGATCCTTCTGTCGCTGCGGTTGTACAGTGACCGTGGCTTTGAGCGTCGTAACAGCAATAACACTTGCTTGCAACATGCACCGCCAGTGTGCCTGTGGCGCGAGGCACTACGATGCGACCGAGAGACAAGGCTTGGGATGCCATCCACTTTGAAAGTTTGCGATAGCTGCTCCTCGGAATCTTCTGCAGTGTTTGCAGCTTCAGCACACGGTAACTCGACTTCAGTTCAGGCCTTCAAGTCCCTGTCAGCAAAGTCCAGGGCCAGCCAGGGCATCTCCTTGAAGTACTCATCGAACTGGCTCTGGTCTTTGTCCGACGACACGAAGACGACCTCCAAGCCTTTGGCACTGAGGTCCTCGAGCATGCGCTTTGCAGGCAAACTGATTCGAGTGTGCAAGGGTCTCCTTCTTGTACCACTCGGCGAGTTTCGGAGTGAACCCACGACATGGAGGGCACCAATGAGCACTGAAATACCTCAAGAGAACATGGATGGAAGAACGAGGACGGTCGATCATGAACAGCTCACGGGCGAATGTACAGCCAGGGCCATAGAACTCGAAGTCGGACATGCTCTGTTCGTGCAATCGCACACGTGCGCGGGGGCTCTTATTCCCGAGCTTAAACTACCGGCCGGCTGTGATATTTCGTCATTCTATAGAGTCGGATGGCTGCAAACTAAATGAAACCAATTAGGCGAGAAGACTTAGTAGCGGGCAGTGACTGAACGTATGCGAGGAAAAAGAAGTCGCAGATGGCATGAGTGAGCAGCATTGGTAGAGGTACAATACCATAAGTACTACAGTAGTGCTACTAGCCACCAGTACTGTTTTGCCAAAAAATGCAGGGATTGATGCATTCTCAAGCTAGCTTCCTGAATAGCAGCTTTAACCCGCCCTTCAAGCTGCAAAAGAGGCACTCCTTTTCTCGCAGCTCCCTAGTGCCATTGCGGGAAGTCTTAAAGTCATGATTGGCGGGGGTAGGTGATGGTGGAACCCTTGCTGAGAAGGCTAATTACAATTCAAAACTGAGTGCTGCAGTTCTACAGGCATCCGGGAGCTTCAAATAGCGACAGAAAGGGGAGCTACCGAAGCAACGACAGGTTGGCCAAGATCGCCGAGAGACAATGCGAGCGCCTTCTTTCCTTGCATAGCCTTTCGGGCAAGATACTATCACCATACGAGCAGGCACATCCAGTAACTGCGCTGCCTCGTTCAGGGACACGTGACCCACACCGTCCGCTGCATGTGATGCGCTCTTCAACTTCATCTGTTGGAGGAGATCAGATGGCTTCGGCGGAATCCTTGTAAGCGGGAAAACGTTTAAACCCAGAGAAGCGTCAAAGTAAGCCAGCTGCTAGGCTCCGCAGAGTCCCCCGATTCTGATGGAATGACAAGAAGTCTTAAAGTGGACATGTAGACTGGCGAGGCCGATGGCCAGACGTGCCTGGACACTCGCCCGACCCCGACTGTGACCGGTTGCATTTCGCTCGGCTTCACTGCACTGCGACTCCTCAAACCCGAAACTTCCCAAAGACAAAAAACAGTGTGCGAAAAATGCAGTAGGCTTCGCGGCTGATTTTAACAAGCTTCCAGGGAAAGTTCTTCCCCTCCGGATCCATTGCGATGGCTTGACGGCCATCAGACGTGATCAGTTGGCCACTCGGGTCCACAATAACCAGCGTTGGAATGCCACTAACCTCAAGAGTCGACATTTACAAATGAAGCACTGGCTATGGTACTCGGAAGGACGACTGTGCCTTGAATTTCTTGTTCAGCTTCTGGCTGACCTCCTGACAGTGTGGCTGGAGTTGCAAATCGAAGGTTTCGGGACTCTCGCGGACTCGCGGCCTTCTGAGAGAAGTCCAGGGCTAGCCAAGGCATTTCCGCAAAGTACTCCTTGAACTCTTCTTCGGATCGATCGGCGGAGACGAAGACGATCTCCAAGCCTTTGCCTTGCAAATCCTGACAGACAGAACACCAATGGAAGATACAGGTTGGCGAGGTGGCAGCGTGCAGGACATGTGCAGGGTCCTTCTTGTACCACTCCGCCAGCTTTGGCGTAAAGCCGCGGCACGGAGGGCACCAGTGGGCACTGAAGTACCTGGGATAAGGAAAATACAGAGAGCAAGGTACTGTCCACAGCACTTGAGTGGCCACTAACTAACAATAACAATGCTCAAGCGCAGTGCGACAGCCTTGGCATTCTTCAAGGCCTGCATAGAATTGCGGAGCAATGTCGACCCCTGTCTACAGCCAAGCGCGCCTCGGACGTGTCTTTCGCACAGCCATTCGCCAGCAAGGAGCTGCCCAAGAGCTCGACCAAGGACATGGCGCGAGAGGATTTGTAGGGAAGGAGTCGGAAGGAGCCAGACAAAATTGCTGAAGGCCGGCAAAGGCGAGGACGGATTGTTGCAGACTGCCAATCTTTAGAAATGAGCTTCAGGGGCACAGGCCTTGTTCACATTTGCTTTGGCAACTCGAGCGAATCGCTCAAAAAGGTTCTCTCCAGCCAGGCGAACCTTAGCGGCACTGCCAGGCAGACTGCCTGCACAGCTCTGCAAGAGCCTACGCCTACGCTAAGCGACACGGGGGTATACCAAAAGGCCGAGCCACTGTTGGTGGCTTGGGCACGGCCCTGGATGGCAGTCGCCTGAAGTCCGCCACATGTCCCTGCTCGGTGCTGTCTTCGTGCTCTGCACACTGACCTCCGTGCTAGCTCAAACTGAGGTCGGAGCGCGCCGACGAAGGTGGCTCCAAGCTGCGCGAACCTGGTGCAGATCATGGCACGCCCAGTCGCCGATCTCAATCTTCCACAAACTCACAACACGACGAGAAAAATTGGACTTCACCGAACTTCGAAGGAGGAGAGATCTGCAACCTATAATTTCACACATTGCGAGCCGTTCTGGGCATCCATGCATGGCCACCACAGCCAGGGCAGCGGGAATATGCAGCCAGCTGCGGGAACGGCCTGTCTCTCTGTGGTTGTCAGAAATACTGAAAAGCCTGAAAAAGTCGTCGGCGACAACTGCAGCTGGCCTCTTCGCATGCTCAGCATGATGAAAGCCGAGAAGGAAAAATGGCAAGTCCGAATCCTAATATGCGTCTGTAAGAAGCAGCGGGGTCGCGGCAGACAGATACGATCTCAAGTCCAGACTTCACTGCGAAAATCAAGTCGAGTAAGTCGAAGTTGTGTTCAAAGTTGGGATGGCGCAGCCGACCATCTGACAGAAAGGGCAAGCAGATTGGCTGAGGATGACCGAGGCTTCTGCCTGCTAGACGTGTCGAAAAAAAAAGCCGCACTTCGACCTTTGCACCCGTCAGCATTGCAGCAGCGACTGCCTTGCTGTTTGCCTCTGTGCCAGCGTGAGTGTGGGTGAGACCGAAATTCAGCTGGGGTAAGAGTGTCAACAGCGACACACTTTGCCCAGCTCTTGCTCACTGACCTGAGCCTAACAGAGTCAGGTCGGCATTCCTCACGGCTCAGACAACTTTCAGTCACCGCATCCTTAAACTGATGCGCTCTCCCATCCTGCGCAAAGTCACACTCTCTCAGGCTAACTCTGCCAGGCACCAGAGGCATTTCTGGCAACCTGGCATTCCTTCGATTTTAGTCATCAGGATCGAACAGACTTTGGGAGAGCCATGGCGAAGTTCTGGGCTCGATTTCTTCGCGCACAGGCTCGGATCGAACTGGAAGCATGCATGCGCATGGGGAAGTTACACTGTTGGTAGCACGAATGCTCTTCGTGGCCTTGTCGAAAAAGACAACAAGCACACGCAGCACACGAACGACAGAAAGAGTCTTTGCCCTGCTGTTATGCATTCTGTTACTGCTAATGCGCACGACGGACTCCTGAAGACATAAAACACACTCTGGCGTGTCGTCGAGTGGCAGACGTGTTTTCATGATTGTTGCAGTGGGAGCTCTTGGCTTCGAACTGCCGTGTTGGGGAAGGCCACCCAGTCCCCACGGTTAGTCGGCTACTCTGTTCACACGTGACCTGTATCCTGGCAGCTTGCTGGAACATGGCATCAATGTCATATCACCGCACGAGTTTCTAAGCTGCATCGATCTGCCTGACTAGGACCTGTAAGTTCATTCTGGATTCCATCGCATCAACCTCTGCATGGTCATCATCAACCATAGACATCGGCTTGGAACTGGCAATCTGCTTCCGGCCAAAACATTTCTGTTGTCATCTCTTCTTCCTGGATGTCTCATCTTCGGGTTAGGGGAGCTATTGGCATACTTGCCTGAGCAATATGCACATCAATCAGCTTGCATTAATACTCGACTTGTTTGGTCCTCTTCCGCTTCTTTCTTCGTGCCAAACCTGGCATGCGATCCGGCGATTGAGACACTACTGGTAGAAAGTACGAGTATCCTGTACAAACAGTCGGCGGCACGATTTGTCTTGTTCATGGCCCAAAGCTCTGATCCGCCCTGGCCATGCCTGGGTCTCAGCTGGCGAGATGTCTGAGGCATTCATGCAGCTCAGGTCCCTCGGGATGCGAAGGCAGCTGCACAGAGAGCTGTCGATCCGGAGACATCAGAAGCTTCCAACCTGGACAGAGCAACTAAACAAAGTCGGATCATGCGCCTGCGAGGCCAAGGCTCGATCTCTCAGGCAGAGGATGCGCAGGTTGGGAAATGGTTGGACATGTCACCTGACACCAGTGCTCCGCTGTCCGATCAGCTGATTAGCAGCATCATAGGGGACCGAAACGTGCGCTCTCTCGCCTCCATGTTTGACAGGACGGACATCCGAGCGGTCCAAGCCCAGCCCTGCTCAGTTGCACCGGAAACTGAGCAGAAGCCGCCAGAAGCCTCCTTCTCAAGCCCCACAGCCTCAGCCTTCTGCACCTCGAGGCCAAGGCTGGAACCTGTGCACACACGATCCCAGGGACCTTTCTGGATCCCGTAAGACCCTTCAACAGAGCCAAGAGTAGCCCAGGATCCCGGGTTCCGAGGATCATTTTCCACCAAACCTGCGCTTCCTGCGCTGCACGGAGCCGCGACTTCCCCAAGCACACGGAGACCAAAGCCGAGCTGATCTTCTAGTGGACCAAGCCACCACGAACTTTTGGTGGACCCAATGCGGTACCAAAACTTGCACGCTATCTTTGCGAGGAATGCGAAGCCGTTGGCACTGAAGCCGGGAACACACCTGTTTTTGGTCCCAGTTCCCCTGTCCTCCTCCTAACCGTAAAGGGGGAGCACCTGTTAACGTTGCAGTCTAGTTTCCAGATCTGACGGCAGGAGGGCAGTTGCCAAAAGCTGAAACTTCGCAGTCACTCTCACATCAGCTCGACTGAATACGATTTGTACAAGGAAGCCAACGGCCAGTCAACAACCGCCAGCCAATTGACAGACGTGTGCTATGAAAATGTGTCGCAACTGTCGTAGCGCACGTAGACATCATGTTCTTGATCATTGAAAGTGTGAAACTGAACGGTGTCAGAAGTCATTCCATACATGTCCTGCTGAAACCGACGTCGCTGTCGCTCTCGCCAGCAGTAGAACAATACCTCGGCGCATTGGACTGCATGCACAAAGGGCCGGAAAACCCCCGACTCGGACAGGAAGGCAAAGAGTCCTGAAACAAGACAGGCGGTGACAGCGACTGCCACAACTCTGTGCTGTGGTATTGAATCATGCAGACTGACGGAAACCAAGTGACCCCAGCAGCAATGCCCAGCACGAGCAGCACGCGCATGAAGCCGGCTAAGCCAATGTCCTTCGAAGGTGGGATAAGCTTGCGCATAAACTTCTACCTCTACCGAGTAACTCTGCAAGGATCTGCAGGGCCAGGCGTGATTGGTTAGCTCTCGGACATCTTGCATCGCAAATACTGTATCCGGGGGCTAAGCCAGATCGGTCCCACTCACGATCGAGCTCCTCTTCCGGCGACGGCGTTGTGGTGGGTACGGCACAGCCGCAGGCGCTGAGGTCGTAGCGCACGCTGTCCGCGCGGCCTGCGCCTCCTATCGCGCTGCTCTGCAAAAGGCATGGATCCAGCGGCGGCCTCCGAAGCGACATGCACCCTCATACATCACGCCAAAGGACATCAGATCTGCCTCTGAGTTTCGGCCCAGGCTTGCAGCTCCGAACAGCCAAGACAGCGATTGTGGCGATCATCTTCGACCCAGCCACACTGCTCCTGGTGAGGCGGAGCTGCAGGATGCTTCAGGCATTGCCTAAGCCATCTCTACGTTCTAGATCAGGCGCACTTGACAGACACACTGGACACACACAAACGGCGCCACATGGAAAGAGGCAGAGTACAGATTACATGTGCAGAAATACACAGATCCTCCCACCCAACGCAACAGTACATTGCAGCGGCCTGCAAACGCTGGAAATGTGGGAACTTCCTCTGAAGTTCGGGAGCAGCAGGTCCAAGCAAAGCTGCTGGACTGCGCAGAGGCTCACAGCCTACGCCTGCCTACTTGGCACCTCAATGAATCACAAGCACGGGAATGAATTCAGCTTTGCAAACTGGCCGGGGGGTGCGACTTACAGCATGGATTGCAAGGAGATCTAAGTTGATCTAAGTCTCCAGACAGAGCAAGACAGCAACTTGCAAAGCATCGTACGGGATCTGCTCTGTGTAAGTCAGGCTTTCCAACAAGCATACGAGGTATACCACAAACGCCATGAATGCGACTTGGTCTGACCTGACTTGCAAATTTCCCTGCCAACATGGTTCAAAGGGTGTCCTTGATGCAAGTGTCATGAGATGACTCCGTGCAGGTGCCATCGTCTTGTGTCACCTCTGTCGCTGGCACGATGCCCTATGCACTGCAACCACACCGGAAGACGCTCCATGCATGTGCACATGCGCATACCGCATACCAACAGGTTACCGGCCTGAATGACCTGTCCGCGTGTAAGTACCAGGACAGTATGTCCGGTGGTGGCCTCGGCCTCCACCGCCAAGCCTCAGAGGGCCCATTCTCTCGGATTAAGAGCGACTACACGCTGTCGCGCGTCGACCAGCTCAGGCGAGAACCTAGAGGCTGTGCAATCCGGGAGATCCAGCTAGCTGGTGACAGCGTCTCCTTAGCCCGCTGGCCCCTGGCTGCCGAAAAGATCGAAGGGTGGCAAGAGCGTGCGGCACAGTTTATAACCACCGGTAGCATATAGCAGCATCTTATGCGGACGACCCAACCGAAAAACAAGGACGGAAGATGGTCTGCAATCCAACATCTCGAACAAGTTGCATTCGGTGGCTCTGCACATTCAACAGGCGATCCGAGCAATGTCTTCACTCGGCCCTCTTCCACCTGCCAGCTGCTCTGAAACAGACTTATTTGAGTAATCTTATCATAGTTTTTATAGTCTTGATATAGTCTCCTTATTATTGTATGAATATTCTCCATATCATACGATTATTGCTGGTCCAAACCTCAGGGCCTGGCCTGGCGCAAGGAGCAGCCATCCACTACTAGGAGCTTGCCATGCAGCCACGCCACCTCAGAGAGAGAAATAACAATGACTATGTTAGTACTATTATTAGTGTGACTATCGTTCTTGTTGTTATTGTGCCATTGAGAGGGGTGAGTTGCACAAGGCGAATCACATCGCAACGGTTGATATTCTGCCCCTGTTACAGAACGATCCTACTACCATACATGACAACCAGAGACACGGAGATGCGATGAGAAAGTGCTGGGCACTGTGGGACTGAATGCAAACCAATTCTGCAGGAAATCTGTACCTCTGGGAATGGTCAGGCAGGTTCCAGAGTAGCTGCGAAGCCTGAAAAGCCCAAGCAAACACCAAACACGTCAACCTCAGCCCTTGGAGTGATCGCCAGAAGCAGAAGTTTACGCTGACTGGAAATTGGCCCAGCTCCATCTCATGAGGACTAGAAGTTGCCATAGACAGCACCATGTCGGCTGAGATCAGAACATGGTGGGGCTGCACCACAGAGGCTGTCTCTGTTGGACCATCTGCTCCCTCACCTATACAAAGCTCATGAGTGGTCGTGTTACTAGTTGTGTGGCATGACACCATGCCCCTGATAGATCGACGAATCCGATGACTGAGGCCGCAGTCATTAAGTGCTTCTACAAATTTCGTGGATCCTCGTGTTTGTGCGCCTGGTATCAATACTTCGTCAACAGCGGTCAGGTGCAAGACACCGTGGGTGTCTTCTTGAAGATGGAGCTTTACCACGCTCCGATTCCTCGGCTGAGTGCACGGATGCGGCAAGCCGCACATGCTGGCGTCACACATGCATGGGCATGCCATCAGCCACGCGTGCCTCGGCACGACTGCATAAACTTGGGCGTGCTGGACGATGTCTGCAGCAAAGGCCGCCGCCAAAGAGCCCAGCACATCCTGCTCGTCCTTGACGAACGTGGAGCATTGCTTGTGTTCACAGTTCTCAACCCGACGGCGTAAGTATTTCAAGTCGAACATCAGATTTACGACCGAGGCGAAAGAGTGCTCGAACACTGCTCCTTGAACTTCTGCAGAAGGCTGGATGCCTGGATACTCACGGCTCAGCAGGTGCATGCCGGACGTGATGCACAAACGCTTCTCTTCAACATTGAATCTCAGCGGTCTCGAGAAAAAGCCAAGGAACCCCGAGAGCACCCGATGAGAGGCTCACGGCTAGAAGGCCTCAGCGGGACCAGAGCTGCGGGTTTGGCGGCAGGAGCTTTCAGGTCCAACGGCGTATACCGTATGGAGAAAATCCTGGCAGCGGGCTGGCACGCGAGGCGCGGAGCAGCAGATTGTCCACGCAGCAAAGGGACTTGGCAGGCACCGTCTCTTGGAAGATCGCCACCTGTTGTTGGAAACTTGATTCTTCAAACTTAGCACTTTGCCAGTTTGAACGGCTTTGGACTCCAGTGCCTTGACAGACTCCTTGGCCAACAGGCTGTACTCATAGATGGTGAGTACCCCACCATCCTTTGATAGCACCTCGTAGAACAAGCTGCTGCGGTGGTGGCACATATGGAAGGCCACCAGTTCCTGGGCTTTATCTCTGCGACTCCGATCGCATTCAGCCTGTACGGGAATGCTAACCTGGCACTGGTCAAGAGCCTTGGGCAGAGTTACATCACCCTAAACCGTCTGAGCGGCGGAGTCATGCCTTTCCACAGCAGGCGTGAGCAGTCCATCATGCAGCATTGACACACCTGTCTTTGTCGCAAAGTACACCGCCTGTGCCTGAGATTGCTGACGGCAAGATGCAAGGTCATCCCCTTGTGGCAACTAGCAATTTACACCCTCCTGCCGCCCCCAAGCTGAGGCCAGCGCATTGACCATCCCTATATGGTTGACCTGCCAGGCAGGAGTAAGTTTAGAGTCCAGAGCGTTCGAAATATGACCATGATGCTCGTCCACCGGCTTGGCTCATGGAAGGAAGTCACACCATGCAGCAAGAACAGCATGTGAAAGGCATGCCGAACCCTGCGCCTGCACATCATGGGGTTGATAGAAGCTGCTGCTCCAGCTATCATCAACATACTCTCGGTGAGTCTCACCCAGGACCTTTGCAAGGTCTGTTTCGGCTGATCATTCAATGCGCTGGCCTTGCAGACTTAAAACCCGGCCTTTACCAGTGCATACCAAGCAACATGCAGCAGGCAAACACAAAAGCTGAGGCCTGACAATCTGCTGGAAGTCAGATACTTCATTGCTTGTCAGAGTGCTCACCGAGAGGCCTGGAAAAAGCCAAGGCTGCATGAGGCCAGGCGACAAAGATGGCCAGCGAGCGTCAAAAAACTTGCAGATCACACTTGTGACATCATGTTGTTAAACCTTGGGTCGCCTCATGATTACTTCCCGTCACCATTTGTTGCCATAGTCAGTGTTTGGCACCTGTGCTACATAGACCACTACAGTCATGCTTCGGGATTTGGAGACGCATCAGTGTCATCCTGAGGGCAGAGGTTGGCTTTCATGCACATCATCGACACCTACGCAGCCAGAGCTCGAATTGAATTCAGAATCCTGGAGCAAACAGTAGCAGCGGTCGTTACAATTGAGTTCATGAGACATGCCGAGACAGGCAAGAGGTGCACTTCTGAGAGCAACACTTGCAAAGTTGCGGCTTGAGCGTGCCAAGAAGCTCCATGCCTGCCGGCGTTCGAGGATGAATACAGTCCGGATCTAGCATGTGGCCCCCTATAGTCCTGAAGGAAAGAGATGCAATGTAAGCTCAGAGTCTACAACAGGTGTTTACAGAGATGCACCACGCAGAGTTGTTGCACAAGGGAACAGAACCTTGACTCCTTGCACCCTGCGCCATCAAGTTGAATCTCTTTCTTTTGGTGGCTCTACTCTGTTCCTGTCTGAGTCTTGCTGCTAAGCTGCTAGCTACGACCATGGACTCTATCTGCAGAAGGGCACTGCCCGGCCTGTCCAGCACGGCTCAGCAGGGCCATGGAGCTGGGGCAGAGAGTTTGCTCGGGCTAAGTTTCCAAACCCGTTGCTGTTGCACAATGAGGTGGGGCTCCACGCGTTGCAGGTGCTGTCGTCAGAAGGCCTACACAGGGCCTACGGGATCTTTCCTGCGAGCCAGCCCGCAGGGTCACCGAAACAACTCCGCTCGCCGAGTCAAAGTGGCTTCGGCCCAGGCTTGCCAGTCTTGCAAAGCACTCTCAAGACTGTCGGCAGGCACCAAGACTCTGTTTCTGCAACATCGAACAAGCTCGCTTGCTTGGCTGCATCAGAGGCCCGAAGAGATACATACTTCACGGATAGGCAGACACTACTCAAGCAAGGTCACGACCTGAATGCGCCAAGCAGGGCGGAACATCCAAGCAATGCCAAAGCAACTCCATTCTGGGCAAGTGCAGCCTCGTTGAAGCCACGATCCCGCGCCAGGTCTAGCGGCGTCTTCCCCAAGTAGTCCTGAGCTGCAGCTATAGAGTCAGCTATAGTGACGAGGCAGCAAGAGTGCTGCATTGGCACCTGGGCATCACGGTCCGCACCCATGGACAGAAGTTCCTTCACCTGCCCAAGCCATTTTGCAACATGTCCTGCGACCACATTGGCGAGCAAATCTGCATCAAATCGTGTCGCGCCGTCTGAAGAAAGCCGTTGTGAGCTGCAGCATGCAAAGGCGTTCTCTTCGTGACAGAAGCTGGCTCCTGATCTAAAGTTTGTGGAAAAGCGTAACGGCCCTCACACACAGATGAGGGCCTTCGGTAGGTACCCGGTACCACTAAGTAGACTCTTCGGCCCTCCATGAGGCACTGGCGTCCAGGTACTTCTCCAACACACCCGCCTGCCGCGGCCAAGGACGTCTCCGATCCCAGGTCGTTTAGCAGGGCAGTCGCAAAGGAAAACCGGGATGTGCAGTATGAGCAACTTCTTTGCAAGTAAAGGAGACACACGGACCCAGAAAGCATGCTCAGCATGAGTCCGGATTGTTGGGTGCCTTCCTCAGATGCAGCGCTAGAGCCTTCAGCGGCTTGTGGTTCCCCTGTCACAAAATGCACTTGCAGGCTGACGACCAGAAATCGCGACGGGAAAGGTACAGCCTTACCTGGCAGGCGAACTTGTAGAAGGCCGAGCACTGGCAGATCCTCGATGGGACCCGACACCCGTCGCATGGGGCTTTGCTTACACAGACGTACGAGACCTCAACGTCCTGTACATAAAGAGGACAGACATGCTCTGTTCTGCAACATGAAGCATCAGGCAACGCTTGTCCCTGCAGGCGACGCTGAGATCCCTAATGCTTCGCAGAGCATTCTGATGTTCTCGGCATCTCTGGCTGTGTAGAGGGAGACACGGGAGTCAAACCTCAAACCCCGAATCCTAATCCTAATCCGAAAATTCCCGGAGCATTCCGAAGGCGTTGTGGAGGGCTCTAGATGGGTCAGTGGGTGGTCGCATGCAGGTGCAACGCCACTGAGGAAGGACCACAAAGGCAGGATCAAGCAACAACAGTACTTCCACCGTCACAATGTCACCGATCTGGTTGAGTGTCCTTTCCTCGTGTTCTTTGTGAATATGCAGCAATGTGAGCTACTCGTCCTGCGCTTATGCCGTTTCGTCCTAATGCTTCTTGATGTGGTCCTGTAGGTCGAATTCGCTTCTTTCTTCCTCAACTGGCTCCTTGAAAAGAGACAAACTAGTGTTGCCTGAACAAGGGACAAGGACTATAACGAACAATGGCACAACCTGATGTCTAGCGCATGGCCAAGCTGCGAGTTTCGATGCTGAATGTCAGCCCCCTCTCTCACCAAGTAATCCACTGCCTGAGGGCTTGAAAATGTGGCTGGGCACGAACGAGTTTCACCAACCTCTGCAGAGACAGCCCAGAAGAGTGGTGTCTCGCCTTGATAGCAGAACAGCGCACACTTCTGAGTCGCATGACTTTCTCGCTCATCGGCTCGACAGCTCGGGTAACAGCCCATGCAGTCAAGAACATTGATGTCTGTACCTCTCCAGCCCCGCAGTCTGTTGCAATGCTGTGAAGCATCGATCCGCAGGGGATGGCCTTTATCCAGCTGCTTGACCACCTTCTCCATTCTGTCGATGCCGACCTCAAATGCAGCCGGGATCACAAGTGCCACGTTGAATGGGCAGCTCACTGGAACTGCTCCTGTAGCACTATACAAGCGTGCACATCCCACACGAACGACATGGACAGCGAAGCGCACCAGCTCGTGAAGTAGAGACTGCTTCGGGATCGTTCCAGCCAGAGACGCCTGCCATTGGCACAAGCGCAAGCCACGATGCGTGTGCCGAACATACGCATTTCACCGACACGACGACCTAAACCTGCACGTGCCAGAGCGCGCCTGCCCCTGGCTCTGGCCACCAGGCCTGGCTAAGAGAGAGCTCTGGCTCTGACGCGCTAGGCTAGCTAGGTTCTCTTCGATGAGAAAGGCAGACGCCAGACTGCAAGACGATTAAGCATTGCCAGGGTCACGCAAAGGCCGCACCACCGCCGAACATAGAAGCTTCCTGGCCAGCAATCGTACATGCCTGACATCACCTTGCGTGGAAGTCTGCCTCACTGCTGCAAGAGTCCAGCTTGTTCATCCTGTACCTTCAGCAGGATCCGAGTACATGCCTAGCTGCTAGCTGCCCAGGAAAACCTGGTGAGATCCAGGCTTCCACTCCGGGAATTTGAAGTTCTCGCCCAGCTCTTGCATCATCGTCTTCATCTCGGGCCTCGGCTCCAGGGCGGTGGTCCGGTCCAGGTGCCGCTACAACTCTTTGGGAACTCGGCTTCAGGGACGGCCCGAGCATTGCCTTCACGCGCTCCTCCATCACAGTACCCATGGCTACCTGGGCTGATTCTCCCATGTGACAGAGGACTGCCAGAAGCTAACCCGGATACCTCCGCTTGCCGAGGAAGGGGCTTTAAGCCGCAGGCTCCAGGCTCCAGGTCTGGTCCACTTAGTCACTAGGCTCAACCGTCTCACGAACTCGACAATAATGGCTTGTCTTTTCCCACTTCTGTTGAAGGTAGTGGGCGTTGCACCCTTTGTTCCTTTTGATCCTGCCCACGGAGTAGTGCTCATGTGCCTGCTGCACCCAAGAGACCAGATCCAACATTGGCACAGAAACTCAGAAGCTCGAAGGGGTCGACTGTGGACAGTCTGCACAGCGCAGCAAACGGCTGGATCCGGGCTTTTTGTGTCTGGTGCGCATTGCACGACATTGCGGTGTCTTTCGGCCTAGGGCCTACACACCTCCCACTTCCCACGGCCGGGTCGGTGCTGAGACTCAGGTAGGCTGACATGGGGCCACTGGCAAGACTAGCAACAGCGATGCACCCATCGGGTCAGCTCGCACAGCATTGTCATGCCAGAGGGAACAAGCGAATGTTCTCTGGCTTGATCCTGAGTGAGGCTGCAGGCTGCCAACGCAAGTCAAGAGAGCTCCTAACAACTCGGCTGTGAGGCAAGCACTTCAGTGCCTTGCCAGATTCCACCTGCACTTGGTACCTCTCAGCGACATCCGGTTTTGCAAGGATCGTGTGTCCAAGTGTCAATGCCTCTGTCGCTCCTCATCAAACTCAGTGACCTGCGGACCCCAAAAAAAAGCGCTGTGGATCTTTGTCTGTGGCGCCGCCTTCCCGTTCTTCTCGTTCCACTCTCCGGCGGCTTGCAGGCCCTGCACCTGACAGGACCACAGTGACCACAAAGGCACCTCAAACGAGACCAACTTTTCCCCCGCACCGCCACGATGGCGCCCACGCCCAGCTGCGCTTGCGAAGGCTGGCGGAGGTCCCGGGGCAGCACCTGCCGGCGACTTCACGCAAAACAACCCAAGAAAGCGATCCCATTCAGGGCAGTGGCTTTTGCTCAGCCCGCCTCGTCGGCCTCTGCATCGGGACAGTTCCAAAGCAATATCACAGGATGCACCGTCAGCAGAGAAGACTCGAAAGCACGGAAGTGCACAGCATCGATGAACACGGCGCCGTCTGATGCCGCATGTTGCAGTCACTTGAAGTTGTTATGGGGCGATTCGAGAGTAGATGACAAAAATTAAGCCTGCGAGTTGCCTTCAGCTTTGTTATCCCTTTCTTTGCAAGTTTGGCTGAACACCTCAAGGCACAAAGCCGCAAGGGCTGCTTAAGACTCCCATGGCTGAGCCCGAAGTTTTTATCATTTGTCATGAAGTTCGAGGCCACGGCAATGCGTAGCTCATGCTGACTCCATGAGGCAGTCCACTTCCCGCCTCCTTTGAGAGGCGGCAAAGATACTGCCCTGTCGCCTCATAATCACACAGCATGCTGTCAGCGTCATGCAGCGGAGAAGCCCTGAGTCGTTTGCATCATCGAAGTCTGCAACTTGAGCTTCAACCCACCTCGCATGCTCAACAGAAGTGCACCGCTGAACCTCCAAAAGGACAAGCGTCTAAGCACAAGGGCTCGGAGGGCTCCTCGCCCTCGCCACGACAAACCTGCAGTACTTCCACCACCGCAGGGACTGCTCTTCGGATGCGAAGAAGGCCTGCAGACTGAGAAGCTGCAGCCTGAGAAAGGAAAGGGGTGGACTTCACGTTGATGTGGTAAGCACGGACAGCGGGATAAGGACAAGACAGATTTGCAGCCTTCAGTGAGAGTGGCCTCGTCAGTCGTTCAAGGTGCGTTGGATTGCGTTGGATTTGCACCCTGCTATCTTGGGCCTTGGACACACACAAGTATGCTCCGCTGCCGGCCTCTCGCCAATCTGAACCACGTATCTCCGCTTCGAGGAATCGAAACTGGCATTCCAGAGGGGAGTGATTCCAAGTCACAACAGATACTCAAATCCGATGAGCGTCAAGGCTCTGTAGGGGCCTCTGCACTACGCCTTCCAGGCCATTGTTCTCAGGCCTGCCAAGCAAGCCCAGCTTGTTCAAGATGCCGTCTGATCTCGCGGGGCATGTCCGAACTCTCAGGGCAAGGCGAACCCTGCAGGCCACGCACACGAACGGACGTTCCAGACCTGATTTGCGGTGTCTCCAAGCTGGCACAGACTTCTGGAAAAAAGTCGGCGGCGGAATCTGTGAAGACGTGTCCACCTTGTTGGGAGGCAAATTCGCAGACCAATAACGTGCTACAACACGCTCACAGATTCCCGGGTGCAGGGGCTTGGGCCTGAGCAGCAACGCCGGCAGCCGCTTTCCATCCAGACAGTGTCGCCAGGATCTGCAAATCCGTCGGTCGTCAAGTACCCTGTTTAACTGCTTAACGGAGTTTGCATTCTTCGCATTCATTCCTACAGCCCTACATCAGACCGGCACAACAGAAGCCGTACTTGTGGCCTGCGTGGACGATGCACTCGCAGCTGCCATGACTTCTGAACGTGCATCTTTCACGGCCTCGTCATGCACGTGGCGTTCATGCATGTATTCGTGTATCACGCTTGGACATTGTATTGAACTTCGTGGATGTCCTTGGGTTCTTGCTTTACCAAGGTTTTCGTGGCCTGTGTGCAGACAACCTTGGTTTTAGCAAGGTTTTTTGTGGGTTTCGACACGGGAAAGTGCGGCAAAAGTTTGGTAAGGCCAAGGTGTGTGCTCGAGTTTGGAATGGCGACCTACGGAAAAGCTTGGTAAAGCCAAGGGTTTTGAAATTTGATTTTCGCTTTGGAATGGGCATGCGCCAATAACCTGAATAAGCCCGTTTTTGGTCGCATGTGACTAGTAATTACCGGCTATCTTGTTAAAGGCGAACTTCACTCATTGCAGCTCTTCCAGCACGATATATCAGAAACCTGAACCTATTCCGAAACCCCAATCCGTTTATTAATTGCAAGTTTGACCGAAAACCCCTAAGCGCCAAATCCCACAGAATCGAATCCAGAACCCTGCACTCCCAACCCTGAAGCCTCCAACCCTGAATTTTCCAGATTCAACTTCAAGTTCTGGAAGTTGAATCTGGAAAATTCAGGGT